ATATATGAATACTATAGTTTGTCTCAACATGAATATGTATTCACTTACAATAATTTGGACAAGTGGTTTAAGAACATTACTACCTATTGGTGCCAATGGAGATGGTTGATTGGTGGCCACTGTGGCTATATGGTGCATTTTCCAACGTGGCTCTAGGGCAGTCTCCAACCACTCAATGGTGTGGCCAACTTAATGCCAAGCCCAATGTTATATGATCGTATCACACTAGCTTTTTGGGGATCTCACTATTTGTTATGGATATTCAACAAGAATATTTTAGAAATATTATTAGAATATTATATGAAATTCTAGAAGGTTCTAAAATATTTTTAAAATATTCTAATATAAGTTTCTAGAGAGATTTATAAAATATTATAGAAGGTACTAGAAGATTCTTAGAATATTTTAGAAATTTTAGAAAGTTTTAGGAAGACTAAGAAAGTTATTTGAGAAACTTCATAAGATTGTTTTATCTTCAAGTAATATGGAAACTCCTCTAGAAGCTTTCTAATACCTAATATATATTGGAGTCAAGGTTGAGGAGATCCTCAGTCTCAACAATATATCTCTTGGAGCTCTAGCTTATCTTTTTTGATATTGATTTTGTATTCATCTAATATAATCAAATTGTTGGTAGCTTTCTTATTGAATCTCTTATGTTCAACTTCTTGTTTGGTCTTCTATATAGTATATTTGTGATACTTCTAATTTTATACTTTTATCCCCTTTTCATTTTAAGAAATCCCTCTTCCATAATAAAATGAGAAAAAAAGTTACTTTTATTGACTACCCTATAATGTGGTTGGTAGAAGTTACGCTTGACGCTATCTGCCTGTACCTACATTAACTCCTTTAAGGCCCCACTTCAAACCTTGTCTCAACATGATAGAACAATTTCCATGACATATTGTCAAAGAAACACTATATTTTGCAGTAGTTGGTGAATAGACCACAATGGAGATTGTTCTAAGGTTGGGATAGCTTAGCTAGTCATTGGCAACATCATTGGCGACAATAGTGGCCATGTTCTAATGCAATGGATTTAGAGCTTAAATCTCATGGCTGCCATTGACTCTTTTTGATTATGGAACAAAATGAAATGTTTATTTTTGATATATGTGTTGCGTTTTTTGAGGTGTTGAAGGATGTAATCTCTTAAGTAGTGATTGAATTCAAATCAATAATCCACAAATAATATTACTTTAATCCTCAAGAATTATTAACTATGCTTCTAAGGATTTATAATACAATATAAAACATAATAGAAATAAATATAAAAACTTTGATGATATTGCATTTAAAAACACAAATATCAAAAAAAATTCCATAATTTAGTTTTGTGCAATTCAATTAATAATTTTTTTATGAGTACTCTTGTAAAACTTTTAAAGTTTGATTCAAAAAGTTATCTTCATAAAACACATATATATATATATTCATTTGAACTTTGAAATCAATCATGAAATGACTTCAAAAATGTTCAACAAGTTACAATGGTTTTCAAGATTTCACAACTTTGTCAAAGTATTTCTTAAAGTTAAAAAATTATGCAATATAAGAAAAATAACAACAATTTTTATTAAGTAATTATATATTTTTTATGTTTGATTTATGGATATATATTTTTTTTTGACATAAAGTTGAAATATATCCTAAAGAAAAATCATTTCATTCATGAGGTTATTAAGTAAAAAATAAATAAATAAATAAATCAATTATATTTTTTTTCAATTTGTTTTTCATTTTTTTTAATTAAAAACATACTAAAAAAGGTGTTACTGTAATTTATATGATTTCTAATTTCAAAGCACGAACAAAATCCAGATGATAGTTTCACCATCACATTTTATGAAAGTTTTATTTTCACACGTCCAAGAAATTATGAATATGCAATAAACCAAAAACAATGAGATTCATTCGGTTCCATTGTTAGTGACCTTTTCTTGTGCATTTTTATAGTTGCACAGGTTATTGTTGTTGTTGTTGTTTCTTTTTTCTTTTTTTGGTTTTGGTTTGTTGTTTTAAGTTCTTATATTCCTTCATGAATGTAATGGATGTTTTTTCTCATCGTTTTTGCATGTAAGAGTGTTCTTGTTTTTCTTTTTCTTTTTCTTTTTTCTTTTTTGGTATTAATGGAATGTGGTTTTTTGTAAAAGGGTTTGCATTGTAATTACTTATCCTGCAGCATATTGTTATACATCAGTAACTCCTCTTAAATGTTTCTCTTAACAAGAAAAGAAGAAATCCAATACTACTGCTATATATATATATATATATATAGGAACACTAAATCTCATTTCTTTTCAGTTGTGGTAATCATTTGTATTAAATAAGGTAATTCTGCAATATTTTAGTCATTGTGCTTGGTATCATTCCCCAACTTCTCAAGGCTTAAGTGGTTTCATTTTTAGTTGCAATATTAACAAGAATACTCTACTACTTTGAATATTTTATTCTGATATTTCAAGAAATAATGATTCCCCTTGTGCACTTTGTTTGCAACTGTACATGAGTGGCTTCACATTATTTTTAGAAATCATGTTATATGCTACATTGTTCCTGTACAATGCACATACCTGCACTAAATTTCTCTTTTTTTATTTTTATTTTATTACAGTATTGGAAAATTTAATAAAAACACATAAGAAGATGAGGTAAAGTACTGTGAATCAGAAATGTGCGGTGTTTGATCAACTGTGAGAAAGCATTCATGTCCACAAACCAATTATGTGCAATATGACCACTTTAAAGTGTCCTTTCAGAAGTTATAATATTGAGGAGGATAAAAAACATATATGTATATAAATGGGGAGAGAGAAAGAGAGCACACCTATTTAAGAGCACCCGCTGTTGAGTAGGAGATCTTAATGATGTAGGGAATCTGTTTTGCATAAAAATGTCTTTGCATTTTTTCACATTTTTACATAAATATGCATTGAAAAGAAAGAAATATTGTGAAAACATTTTAAATCCGTCAGAATATAATTTACTGTGTAAAAATGAAGAATGAAAAAGAAAAAATCAGCTTGCTATAAATATTCACATAATGGAATGATCTTTATGGAAAAACATTATAAATACTGAATTTTAATTACCTACATCATTCTTTGAAATATCAAAATTATTATTATCATTATTTATTGGAAAAAAATTATTCTAATATATATACCAAAAATAGAAATAATAATATTTTTAATATATGTTAGTTACATTTTAAAATTTATTCTTTTATATGAATATATATATATATATATATATACATATATTCTTCCATATTTAATTTAATGTATTGAAATGTAAAATTTTAAATGCTTTATTGAACAAAATGATTATAGATTTAAAAATTCTATTCATTTATTTCTTATAATTTAAAGCTTAAAATCTTATTAAGATTCATCATAGGAAGAAAAGTGTAAATATTTTTTTAGTTAAATACACTTGTAAATTTTCCAAGTAATTTTTTCAAAAAAATTACCATTAAATAATTTTAAAATTTATCTATAGTATAGTTCAAGTGTTTTGACTATATATATATATATATATATATATGTAAAATAGTTACATAATGTAAAATTTAATCTTAACTAGTCTTATTTTTATAATGTATACTTTTGTTGACAATAATGTTGTATCATTCATTTGTATGACTTCCAACCTCTAAGTCAATTTTCCAAGCTTTATATCACAATTCCTTCAACAAAAATGTTTTACTCGAGTACATAATTTATTTGACTAATAAATCACAAGAGTTGTACGCACAAACCCTATTGTTAACCTCCTACATTGTTCTACAACTATGAATACACAAGAGTCTATATAAGTCTCTTTCTAAACGATTAGTTTTAATTTGCGAAAATTTTGATGTATCTGGATAGGTGCAAGAATGACTCAATAAAGATCGACAATTAACCATAATTCATTACAGTTTGATGTCAGGAGCTTGAAGAGAGTGAGTAATTTGGGTTCCTAAACAATTTTCTGTACATTTCGAAGGTTTTAGCTTTACATGACAGGAGGTGAAGTAATCTGACCAAGCGCACAATGTCGGTGACAAGACTTTTTCAGTTTCACAAATATTAAATACCCAAGGTGATCATACAATGCCAACAAATCTGTTGCAATTTTTTTAGTTTGCAATCACTCTGTCGCTAACTGTAACAATGTAATCAGCAGTCTTTTGAATCTGTTACACCTCAGGCTGTACACACTTTCTTCAAAGTCAATGTTCTGTTTTTATTGACATATCTATTAATTTTGCAAAACCGTACACAAAAACGCTATTTTGATATTTTAAAACTACTTTTGAAATGAGAATATATTCACTAATTCATGAAGAAGGTAAACTGCCTATCATCTTCTTCGTTCACCCCTAAGGCAACGCTGATGTTTCTGCATTTTGTGTAGTCAGCTCCTGACTATTGAGTACGGTTTTTGGCATAGATTCGGGAGAGGAATTTGACAAGTCCAATTTGCATCATTGACACGTTCGGGAAAATAATTTGGTGCACATTCCCACAAGCAAAAGACATTTCCTACAAAAAGAGTTTTATATCTTCAACAAGAAAGATTCAGAATTCCCACGCAGCAGCACATACACCGCAGTTTTCATCTCAATCTCGAAAACAGTTCGTGCCAGGAAAAATGTACCTTAAAGTTGTTTCATTCGATGAAAAGTCATATCTCTGGAAGAGCACCAAGCATGGAAGCAACAGCAGTGTGCAAGCAGTGCGCTATGGATCTCGTCCATACAAAGTGGACGCATGTACTGGAAAAGTATTGCCTGTTTGGCACAAAATTATAGTTGAAAGTTGCGCTGCATTGATAATATGATTGTCTGGAGATGGGACATTTCTGTCGTCCTTGGTTGCTGCTAGTCAGAATGTTAGAGGTTGTTGTTACATTATTCTTTTGGCTCTCTCCTGTACTATCTTGTATATTTTGGAATACAATAACATATGCAGCAGTTCATTGCGACTTCGCACATCAGCTTACTCTGCATGAGCCCTGAAAATTGAAATGAAGCCAGATATACTTGGAATTGCTTCGAAAGCTTACATGTTGAAGTTCCCTTGCAAATTCACTATTCTAAATAATAAACGCTCCGAAACCTCGATTGTATAGAAATTAACTCAACAGCTTAAGAAAAAAGTTACCAGAACAAAAATACGAATAACTTATCTCTTTGAATACCGATCAACGAAACCCTTGGCCTTGGGTGGAGCTAGATACCGTGCCTGCACAAAGGTTGCAACAACATGAAGAGAGTCGATCTAAACCGTGAATGTGTGCGGATTAAGGTAAGGTCACACTGCAGTCTAGGTTGCAAATGTGCTACCGTACCTGATATGGAGAAGGACTAAAAACCAAACATTGAAATAAACTACAATCGACTCTAATTTCGCACAACACTTCCTGCATTCCAGATGGTACCTGAATAAACATGCGCTCTGCATCGCTATCCTTCCCTTGATCCTTCAGTAATATACCCTGTAACATTGCATGTGAACTAGTTGAAATCCCATGTGTTGCTACGACCCCATCCATAGCAGTAACATCAGAGTACTCGGGAAACGAAACTTAGAGAATCGAAATCGAACATGAAGAACTGTGAAGCTAAAATAAATTGACTGTCTGAAGAGCTTTTTGACAAGATCGTGGAGTTCCTTGATACCAAGATGTTAATAAGGCTAAGTGACACACAAGAACAAAAACTTTACCTTGGCCAAGTATCCCCTGAAATCATCAGGATAGGAACTGATTAAGTTGTCGTACACAGCAATTGCATCCCCAGTGTGACCTTCCCAGGTTGAGTAGGCCTTCCCAAGTAACATTTCAACCTGATTCAACATTTTAATCACATCCTGTTAATACAAACGGGAAGACCGAAAATAAAAAGATCACAAAACCCATTGTTCTTATCCAAGAATATAACCTTTATTTGACAAAAATATTTTGAACAGTTCCTGCCCTTGGTGATTAAAGCCAAAACAATATAAACAATAGGAAAACCTTACTTGTACAGGATCCACGCGGTCATCTGCATTTCCACTTCCCTCTTGTGATGATGGTGGGGATTGAGGACCTGCATTCAGTCGAGTTCTTGCTGCAAGCATCTCTCCAACAGCCTGATCACGTAATATATCCAATAGATGAGAGTCCATAACTGTGTTGCTACATCTCTAGGCGGAATTTCAATTGAAATCTATTTTTTCGATCCAGTGGTTTCTGACTTAATCCAATGTCCATCAACGACGATTCAGTGATAGAAACTTTTTTGAAAAAGACATACCTCACTCGGCTTGTTGTCTGCTAGCAGGGCACTGACAAGTCCTTGCAACAAGCCTATGGTGTCTTTTGGAGCAGCCTGCAGCCAAACAGTACCGAGTTCCAAACTTAGCATAATTTCATCTCATCATAGCTAGAAAGTAAGAAAAAGCTATAAGTTAAGACGAGAACACCTAGGTCATAGTTTCAAAACAAATCTGAATGTAGGATACCAATTAAAAAATTTGAATTTTTTTGGTTTCATAGCTGTTTCACGTAGAGGCAAAGGCAAGCGCAACGCTTCAAGATATGTCCAAGCACAGATACATCACTTGTACAGACGATTAGAGATTTTGATCATACTCTGACGGCGCTCCGGTAGGCTGTAGCACTGCCTGCATAGTCACCAGCTTCATATCGAACTTCACCAAGTAACCGCTGGGCTTCTACATCCTTGGGTACTTTCTGTAAGACAGGATTGACACGCAAAACAGAGCACTTGCATGAGCGGTGCAGAGGATATTAGATTACTGTGGAAGAAAAATTAACAGAGATCTGATCAGATATGTCCTTGGACATGATCGAACTTACTTTCGTACATACTACATGAAAGTTAACAGATAAATGGCAAATTAAGCTACTTGTTACGTGTCCTTTGATGCAGTCACAGAACTTGCTATATATACAGTTGCACTTACATTGTTTTTCTCACACGTATTTTGTCCTGTCAACATTTAATTTTGAACAATAACATACCTGGACAAGCTTGGTGAGATACGTGGCAGACTTGCTGTACTCTCCCAGTTCTGCATATGTAACACCTGCACCCTGCACCAATTGTGCACAGTATTAAACGTACTTCGCAATGTACGCCTTTCCCTACAAAAAGATCACCTTTAAAATTCCAGAAAATGGATGCCGATATCAGTATATTGAAGTATCTTGCCGAAAAGCCCAAGGTTCAAAGAGATCAGCCATGTTCAACTTGTTCTGAATAACATAATCTGATTTGAGCAATGTTAAACCTAGTTCTTTTTCATTTACCAGGTAGTTTATTTACTCTTCTTTTTCTTCAAAGCAATTGCGATTAGTGAGGATCTTACAGGCAACTTATAGGCATACATTAAATTCGAATTTGAGCTTTACGGTCAACTTCTAGTTTCGTGGTTAAATATGATAATCTTACCTCAAGAGCGTCACGATCATCTGGTGAAGTCTTCAGTGTTTCTTCAAATTTCTCAACCTGGGCCTGCAGAATGAGGCGCAGGATGATTGTTCAGTGCGTCAACAAGAGAGAACAGAACATATAAATGGATGTTCAGTGCATAACCTTGAGTTTAGCAGCTTCTTCCGGAGGCAGCGTTGGTTGCTCAACCTGCTGCTGATTGCTTGAGACCCCGCTTGGGCTATGCTTCCCAGACATCCACAGAAAAACATGAGATGATAATTACAAGGAAATTGCTTCATAATAATCTGCACGTAAAGAGTTGATTTTGAAATAAAACTTGACTTCCAAATTCAACGGAGCTAGATAAGCCCCGCTGGAATATGATAAAATGCTGAAAAACTAAAACATTGGCATCGTATTCCATTTCTTCCTATTTGGCTGCCTTCAAAGTGATATTGTTCCAGTAAGCAAGTACATACCTCCCGCTGGGTAAAAAATCTCCTAGAGTAAATATGAGTGCAAACACCACTGCTGCCACTCCAATGCCGATCTGGACCAACCCTCATACAGGTCAGTAGCAACTCACATTGACACAAAGTACAAGAGTAAAACTTGAATAAGATGATACTTACTCTTGCACCAATACTGTCGGTCCACTTAGCAACTTCTGAAGCAGGAAGAGGTGCATCATAATCGATGGGTAAGAATTTCCTATACTCCTCTGCTTCCTTCAGCTCCTTGGCCTTCCTAAATGCATCTACCAGCCTAAGTTAGTCATTTACATCGAGACACGAAATCGTTCAGACCCCATGAAAAAGTTCAGCAACAAGGAAGACATTCCATCTCATCTACATGGGCTAATATAGAAGCACTCTGGCATATTGACGCACGAAAACTCAATAATCTACAAGCAGCTGAGTAACTGAATTGATTACTTATAATAACAACGAGACACCTATTTATGTGTTGAGACATGGTACTCTCCATACTCTTCATTTACACGAATGAAGAGGTCCCACGAGTTCCGTATGACAATGAACGAAGACCATATACCTCCTGATGACTGCAAGTCGTTCTTCGAAATCGTCGTTAGTGACCACTGCCTTCTCCTTTTCCTCTGTTCCTTCTAGATCTAATGCTGGAGCTTGCTCCGATACTGCCACATCACACAGGATGACGCTCTCTTACACAAGCTGATAAGATTAGATCTAGAATATAATATTACAATCTTCTATATGCCAGAAATCGTAGAGATTTTGATACAGATTGATTAGCAATTTTCAAAGTTGAACTGATCGGTTCAAAATAACAAGGAGAAAACAGTGCACCTGCAGTCGTCGCATCATCATTGACCTGCTGTTTTTGGGCCAGGATCTGCCTGCACAGCTTCCAAAGGGTCAGTTCCAGCTCATGCATTAAGCCACAAAAATTGAAAGCAAAAGTAGAACCTAATGTTTGCATCTGCAAGAGAAAAACTGATGCTTATTGGAACGCAAGACAAATGTCACTTATATCGTATACTCACTGTGCTCGAGCTAATTGGTCTTCCTCATTCTTTGGTTGCGGCCGGTTGGCTTTCTGAAAGAGTGACAAGCAAATAAGTTCATGCTCTACTTAGCAAACGCATTTAGATACACCGTTCTGAAAAGGTGTTAACCTAAGCTATAACTCTGCGATAAACTACGAGCCCTTAAATTGTATGAACCGAGTGAAGAAAATCGTACACTATACAGCATTAAAATAAATAAACAAACAAACAGATAAATAAAATCCACTAATATTCATAAGAATCAGAAGCTCCTATGCTTCAGTGAAGAGGGAATATAATGATTATTCGGTCCATTGGCAGCTGACTACGTCAATACATCCCAAATGGTGTGACTGTGCAGTAAAATTAGGTTCTTAGACAAGAATTAAGTTAAATAAGTGCACAAACCTTTTTTTTCTTCACAGGTTGACGACCGAATCCGGACTTGCTTCCGTCCGTAGCTTGAATACTTAGCCTTCTCTGAAATTCGTGCTTTTTATTCCAAGTATTAGCAGGCGGGATGTATCTCCTCAAGGATTTAAATAAAATGGCTCCATATCCAATCTGGGGAACATTGATGTCGAACCTACGCACCTGCAATTACTTACGCCAAGTCATGGAAAAGATGGAAAACTTGAACGAAGTCCTTTCCACAAAAAAATATAAATAAATGAGAGGGGGGGGGTGTGTGTAGAATAAGGAGAAGTAGGGATGGAGGGAGGCGCTGCGGCGAACGATAAGTTTTAAATTAAGAATCCTGAACACATCTGGAACACTCTGCAATGTACAAAAGCCTGCTTGCTCAGTTGCACACTGACGTTGAGCAAATCGGACGCGTGGATATCTTTCAGTTAAGCCCAAAACCACAATACAAATGTCTCAAAAGAGCTGCTAAAGACACGAGTGAAGAAATGCACCCCCCCCCCCCCCCCCCCCCCCCAAATCGAGAATGCAGAATTCTGCATCACCCCTCATGGACTCCAGTGCCAAATTCGGAAACGACCTTCCGAGGCATCGAATAAAACAAGAGACCGTGACTGCTCACCTCTTCAGCACCCCCTTGAAAACGGCGTAACCCACAGCGAAGGGTGTACTGAGGTGATGAGACCCCGATCGCCATGGCAACAACCTTCGAGATTGCTCACCAACTTAGCTGCAAACCCCCACAATGCGCTTATTCATGCAGACACATCCAACCCACAAACTCTAAAACACCACACACACGCTGTGGCTTACTGGCTTACTGGCTTACTAAATGGCTGGGTGTTGCTGACCTCCAGAGTCCTACAATTTACTGGCTCACTTCTACCGTCAGGCAATCACCCACACCCTCGAAGCATCACACGACACTCCATCCCACAGCCCTCGGAATTACTCTCAATATCCGTCTCCTTGAGCTCTTCCGTCGATGCTTCGAAGGGTTCATCCACCCACCTGGAGCTACGTCGACATAGCCTCGTCCTTCGATTGGCTCTTACAGGATGAGGTGCTCCGCTGGCGCCTTAATGCGGAGTATCTTGGTTCTCCGCTTTGAGCTTCATGGCAAACCCCTGCGTTTCTGCTTCTCATATTTGTTCTTTTGCACAACACTTCCAAGCAATGTAGAAGCTCATGCGCATCGCTTCAATCCCAGTGTGAAATTGAGCTCTTTCATTTGTGAAACCAATTTACCGGCCATTCTTTCATTTGTGAAACCATCGCCGGATCCTCCTTCCATCAACCATCAAGACTGTATGTTTCCTCGTTTGGGTGCTTGTGTGGCCGTTTCTGAGGAACTCCATTTGTCATTTACTATTTTCCTTTTGTTCCTTCTGTGCAAGAGATATCCCCAAATGGTAGATCCTCATTTTATTTTTGAAAATAAATCTTTTCACGTTAGAAGAAGCATGAAAGAAAGGAATAATCAGTTAACATGTGAATGTTGTAAAGGACTAAAGAAATTTTTAGCAAGTCATTGAAAAAGGTTCTCACATACAAAAAATATCTATAAATAAATAAAAATTGTTCGGCGACGTTGTCAGTTTGTACCAGGGGATGGAGTGGTCAATCTTAAAAAAGAGCTGAAAACTAATTTGGTGTTTGGTACAGCATTTTATCACTACATCACTACAATTTTTTTATATATATATTTGGGGTTTTAAACTAATGATTAGAAATTTTCCTATATGTGAGCAAGAAAAATTGTGTAGACTATAGAGAATAAGCCAAAGTTTATAAATTTTACTTCAGTATTTATTTATGCAAAACCAAAAAATATTCCATTATATATATATATATATATATATCTTATTTTGATTTAAAAAAAATATATTCTTAATATTTGGGTTTGAAAAGGTAACAAAAAAAAATAATGAGTAAAATAATATATATTTTAAGGTACAAAAGAATACTTTAGCAAAAAAATTAGAATTGCTTTATGAAGTAACAACTTTAAAAGGAGAAATTAACAACATTTTGTAAAGTTCTAAATATACTACAAATACCATGACTTTTTTCTTTATTAAGAAATATATGTATATATATATATATATATATATATAATGATATAATATTATAAAATATTAAAAGAATAATAAAAAACTATAATTATAGTAGATTTTTATTATAAAATAAATATATCTAATTTTATCAATGTTGGAAAATCATATACATTTGTTATTATTATTATTATTATTAGAAAAAATGTAACAAAGAAGATTGATGTTTTTTTATTGACAACATCCATCAAAACAAAGATAAAGCAAACAAGATTCAATGGAGATTGTATTATATCTTCTATGTTTCTTTGAAGTTTTTATATATTTGTGGTGCTAAGGAGACAAAAAATCAACCATTAACCAATTCAATTGTAGAGCTATTATTTGTTAAATTACTAGACATTGCATTGAAATTGTCTTAGCTTTAAAGACAATGTAATAGAGATGAAGACCCTCAAAAATGACATATTCTTCTTCATATAAATGGTGAGATACAACTTATTTGGTATCATGATTCTTCAAATGAATCTTCAAAGGAGACTCTTAATGTTCAATATTCTTCAAAGGAAACAAAGATTAGAATATGTAGTAAATATATTTATTTGCATATTAAACTTCCTCAACTTGTGATTATTGCTCTGCTTGGAACTTATTTTTAGAAGAAGGGATAATATCATGGAAATATATATATATATATATATATATATATTTAATAATTATATAGATGATATGAATAAATAGAAATTTATAAGAATAGATAATTTGATAATATCTTATGAAGAAGCTTCTTAGTAGAATATAGACACAACTTTGTCTTTATATATGTTTATAAGTTGATTCATAGGTTGGAAATTTTACTAATAAGTTAGCTACATATTATACATATTGGCCACTTATGGTATAAGTTGGACATGTGGCACATATGTAAGAAACTTATCTTGCAAATTGAACATATATCTCCCAATCTACATACATCTTGGAGGTCCTAAAGGATGTTGCCACAAAGCTCTTACTTAGATAATATTTATAGATGCAAAAGTGAAGCTTTCATCACTCTTTTTCATTCTTATATTAATTCTAATCTAGTTTCAATAGTATCTAGTTTTGTAGTCTTTGGCAATAGCTATTTCAATTTCTTCTTGAATATAAGAATTTACTTATTTATTTTTTGTCATCTTCTTTGAAAAATATCTTCCTTCTTTGTTACCATTATTCAAGTTCTTATTCATAATAAATCTCTATTTAAAATAGACTCAATATATATATATATATATATACATACTATAAATAAAAATAATATTTTTAACAACTATTATGGTAGCAAATATACTAATCTTCAGATATTTAATTTTAAATATGGTTTTTATTTTTTTTATTTTAAAATATAAAACTTATATATTATATCTTTAAAAAAATTATCTTTAAAAAATAATTCTAATAAAACATGCTATTAAAGTCCAACTTTTTATTTATTTTCATAATTTTAAATTCTTAATCTACTTCTCAAAATACACATTTAGATTTTTTTCTCTTTGGCTTTTGCAATCAAATATATATTCTTCTAAACCTCTTAAATTCAAGTTTTTTTTTTGTAATAATCTTGTACTATTATTTTCTCTTATTCAAAAAAATAGATGTCTAATGATTTGTAGTACAACATTATTAATTTATAAACCATGATTTTTATCATTTGGTATTTATAAAATGTATTTGAATCTATTACTCTTTATTTCATGATAAATTATTTAAAACAAGAAGTAATAGTTTTTTTCAACTTATACATATATGTGATAATTTTTATTTTTTAAAATAATAATGATAACAATAATAAGGGAAAATATCATACATGCTCTTGAACTTTTCCAAAATATCAAGAATACCCCTCAAGTTTTGATAATATCACATCTACCCCTTTTGTGATAATTGCAAAAAGGTCTTTGTGCTTGTTGAGAATGTTTAGAAAGACACAAGAGTAATAGTAAGTCATACACACACACAAGAGTAGTAGTAAGTCATCCACACAAGAGGGTTTCTAAGGAGAGAGAGCTTCACACATAAAAATCTATTGATCTAGTTGTATCTCGTATATAAGAAGAGAAAGGGGAGAAGATAAACAATACTTCTCTACTAGACTCTAAATACTATAGCTACAATATTTATTATAGTCTATAGTAAATATTATGGAGAGCGCAAGCTACATTTAATGATCTCAATACTCTTCCTCGCTCATCATAATATTTACATAATATAAAATTTGTATAGAATTATGATCTATACTTTTTTGTGATCTTGTAAGATCAACAATTGTTACCTCATTAAAACCTTATCTAGGAAAATCTTATTTTATTTAAGGACAAAACCATAGATGAAAAAAAAATAGTACAACATCATTTTCTTTAATTATTTAAAGAGCTCATTAACTTTCTTATTCAAGAAGAGCAGGTCGCCGCATACCAATGCCATAAGTAAGTCGATGATGGTTGCTTAATAGGAGAGCTTTGGTGAAGAGATCAACAAGGTTATTTGTAGATTCAATTTTCTTAATTATAAGTGCTTGATCACTAATCAAGTCATGGGTATAACTAAAATACTTTGGATCAATATGCTTTGTCCTGTCGCCTTTAATAAAACCAACTTGCATTTGTGCAATACAAGCACTATTATCTTCATGCAAGATAGTTGGAGAATCATCATATGAAAATCCATAGGTTATTTGAAAAAAATTTATCAATTGATCGCAACCAAATACATTCTCGAGATGCTTCATGTAAAGCAATAATTTCTGCATGGTTGGATGAAGTTGCAGTTATTATTTGTTTTACTGATTTCCATGATATTACAACTCCATGTCTTAAGAATACATATCCTATTTGAGATTTAGCTATTGCAATATCAGATTTATATCCTACATCACAATATCCAACCAATTTTGGATCTGCGGATTGTGTGTAGTATAATCTCAAGTCTTCAGTACCTTTTAAATAATGTAATAAATGTTTGATGCCATTCCAATGTCGTAGTGTTGGACGTGTACTATGTCTTGCAAGAACATTAACTGCAAATGCAATATCTGGTCTTGTCGATGTAGCTAAATACAAAAGTGCTCCAACCGCTGCGAGGTATGGATATTGGTCTTCCAATATTTCCTCACCCTCGTCACATGGACGGTATGGATCATGACCATCATGACCACGTCCAACCATTAGTGTGGACAATGGATAAGCATCAATCATATTAAATCTTCGCAAGATTCGTCTAATATACGTTAGTTGGTAGAGAAAAATGCTACCATCTATTAAATGTATAATCTGAAGACCAATGTAGAAAGTTATTTTTCCTAGCATTTTCATCTCAAATTCACGTATAAGTAGGTTTGTAGCTGTAATACATGCAGATGTAATATCCACTAAGTTAAGATCATCAACATATACAGCAATGATCACAAAACTAGTTTTATCTTGTTTGATAAACAAACAAGGGATTAGTGGATCACTTATAAAATTATTTGTAATTAAATAATCTTGAAGACGTTGATACCACATGTGTCCGGATTATTTTAAACCATAAAAGGCATTATATACTTTAATACCACGATATTTTCCTAGAGCGGGTCGATTTGAAGTTTCTGTTTCTAAGCCAAGTGGAACTTTCATATAAATATTTGCATCAAGAGAATCATGTAGATATGCAGTTACTACATCCATCAGATGCATTTCAAGGGTGGCATGAACTGTGATTCCAATAATATATCAAAATATAATTGAATCCATGATTGGAGAATATGTAGATTCATAATCAATGCCAAATTGTTGAGTAAATCCTTGAGCAACAAGATGAGCTTTATAGCGGGTTATTTGGCCTTGAGCATCTCGCTTGCATATTTTATATCCTACATAGTAAGATGTAAGAGTGTCTA